GCGACCCAGGTTCGCCTGGAGGACGCCGAGCGGCATTTAATCGCCGATCAGCATCGCCTCCCCCATGGCGCCCTCCATGTTATTCGCTCCGTTCGAGGACGCAGGGAGACTGCTCCCCAAGAGTTAGGGCTGTCCCCAGCTCCACGGGACGAGCCCTCCCGGTGGGAGGGGGAAAAAACTTCCATGTGGCGCCGATAGGAGGGCACCTTCAACGATCGGTCCGGTATGGGTTGAACTTGTCTCGTCGAGGACTACATTTCGTCTCTCGACATCGACCTTCTGTCTCCTACCGTTGCGAAGTTGGTACTACCGCCGCCCCGTACCCCAAACGGCTAATTTTTGAACTAGAGATCGGATCTCGAAAATTCCAACGAATGGCACGAATCATGACTTCACTATCATGATTCCACTACCAAAAAAAAAAAAAAAAAAAACAGTAGTCGATGTACAGAGCCCACATCCTCCAAAGGAGAAAGTCCTGACTTCTAACCCCAGAAGTCGCCAGCCTCACTGATGCCCTGCACCACTTAAACGACTACTCCAACTTTTCTCGGTCGCAGAGGGAAAGGTATTCGTTAAATGATAAAGCACTGTATCGCAGGAAATTTATAATAGTTTATTTATAGATTCACAGTTGTTCACTTTTACATATGTCCGCGTAACGCCGCTCTGGGTGATTGCGCCACAGACGCTTGCCGCTCATTTCACACAATTCTCGCAATCCGGGTTTTCGTTCATCACCCGTGTTCTCTTATGGCTAGACTATTAACGCGTAGGTGAACCCCCGATCACTATTACGCTCCTTGTCCCTCGACGCGCGTTTGAAACGGTCCCGATCATAACTCCCGTGTGATCATCGGTCGACTCAGTTAACTTGCGGATGATGATCTTCGAAGACGCGATCCGATAGCGATCCGAAAAGAACTCCACTAATCTGCACATAAGCTACTACTTGCTGCCGAATTATAACTCGCGCTTCCGCTGCTTGCGCTAATCGAGTTTCTATTACTCCACTACTACTGGCCTACTGCTCTGGTACTCTGGTACTGGCATACTCGCCTACTCGCCGAATTTCCTCGAGCGCTCCAGCGCTCGCCTTCTTATCTCGATCGCTTATCCCCTCCATCGCGCTCGCATCTGCGCGTTCGTTTTACGCGCTGTAAGCGCTCACGGCGCTCGCTTATCTTAATCAGTTGTGCCGTTCGATTCTCTCCCTGCATTTTATAGTTATATAATTTTTTAACCTATGCTTTTCTTTTATTTTCAGGTACTCGCCGTATTGGAAGGATGCTACCGCTCGTATTCTCCCGCTGTAGTTACAGATAAGTATAAAATTTATTTACATGTTAGCAAGATTCCCCGGCTGCATCCCCTATCTATATACAATATTTACATTTGTGACTCTTGGTCCCTTCGATGCCATAACGAAATTTCATGGACACCCGGTATATACAGGGTGGACCATCTGAAGTGATCCAGTCAAATATCTCGAAAACTAGTAGGGATAGAGAAAAATGTTTCGTATGAAAA